TTTTTTAGATTTTTCATTTTAACTATAAAAAAGTTTAAAAAATAAATAAAGGTATAGAGCAAAGTCCAAAATAAATTTTAATTAAAAGATTTTTGCTAAATGACAAAGAAATAAAACAGTCCAGCAGGGTTTATTCTGTACCACCGAGTGACCCGATTCTTATATCGGCTGAAACAATCTAAATCATATTAAAGATCATGTTTTTTTTATACAATCTATAACGCGAGAGAAAAATTAGCTTCTTAAAACATTCTTTCTAAGAGGATTAATATAAAAGATTATATATATATATTTTTAAAGCTGGGACTTGAACCAAACTGTCAAACTTTTAAAGTTTAATTTACATGGTGGTTATAATTAAAGTTCCAATTTGAAATGGTCATAAAAGGAATCGTGTAAAGGAGGTTATGGGAATTTATTTTCGGGGGGAAAAAAAAAAAAAAAAAAAAGAGTTCAAAAACTCACCACCAGGGGAAAAATGGCGCTGTATACAATATTGTTAAATGAAATAAGACATGAAAACATCTGTTTAAAATGTGTTTAATATTTTCCGAAACGTGTTACAAAGCATGTTCAATGTAGCGTCCAGCATTTTCCGAAAGCAAGTTAAATCCTGTTACTGCATTCTCAACAGCAGCTCTTAGCATATCAGGAGGAATGTTACGGACATGTCAGTGTATCACATTTTTCATTTCTGCCAAATTGTTTAGATTATCACCATAAACAGTGCTTTTGAGATAACCCCATAGCCAAAAGTCACAGAGGTTGAGGTCTGGTGGGAAGAGGGGAAGTGTTGGCCTATAAGACGTTCATTCGTGAAATGTTTGCCTAAGTAACTGTGCGACACACGTGAGGTGGGGCCCAGCCCTGCATAAAAATCGTAGTATCTAAAATGCCACGTTACTGCAGTTCAGTTCATGTATCACGAAACATTTTAACATTGACTCTAAGTGAGCTGCAATCACAGTGGTCCAGCTGTCGACTGCTCTTCAGAGAAAAATGGTTCAGTTATAAAACTAGCTGTCATTCAACACTAAACGGTGTGGAATGACTGCTATGCAATCGAATGCAGTAGGAGAATGCAATGGAACTAGATAGATAACATGAGGGATTTCTTTGGCCCAAATCGATTAAAAGCGTTTTGAATCAGTATCTTCATGTTTTAGGGCCGAATTCAGGCTTCAAAAATTACAAATTAGCGATCTGTAAGAAAACGATTTCCAGATTGTACGCACTTGCGAGTGCGAGTGATTTGCGATCTCACATTTTCTAATCGCTAATTCGTGGTTTTCACGGACGAATTTCTCACTTACACGGATGGCGCACTCGACTTTTATCGAATTTAACGCCTTTTAAATGGTAATTTGCCTACTTCAAAGTTTCTTAAGGGTATACAACATATTAAACCCGTGTAACAAAAGGTTAAGTTAGATTCCGACCCATATTTCGTTTAACATATATTGCATACAGCGCCATTTTGCCCCTGGTGGTGAGGTTTCGAACTTCCTTTTTTTCGCGGAAAATAAATTCCCATGACCTCCTTTACACGATTACCAAGTTTGATAACATTTGATCCAGTAGTTTTCCTTTTATGACCGTTTCAATGTGGAACTTTAATTATAACCACTCTGTATATTATTAAATTTTAATTTGAAGCTATGCGTTATATGTATACCATGCGTAAAATTTTCGCTTTTATGGAAAAATAAAGAATCGAAGCAAATATACTTAGGATAATGGACCAAAACTGAAAAAATTTCCCCTCCCTCCGAAAATAAAATATTGAAACTTCGACCTTGAATTTATTGGGTTATCGAAATATTTAATTTGACTTATCTTCTAAGTCCTAGTTCCGACAACAATTCCGTCAAAAATTCCGAATTACTTAAGCTGAAGTAAAAGATTTAGTATATATTCACTGTATGTTAATAAAGTAATCAGAGTGTAATAAAAATAGATTATAGAATTTACGCTGATGCAACTTTTTGTCTGACTGCACAACATGTAATGGAAGAGAAGGCTTGTAGAGATCTGTTTTTGACATGCCTCTAAAAGTAGATGTCATACTCCTTTTGTCTCTTCAATGTCAAAAAACTTTCCTTTGAGAGGCAACTTTAATTTTTGGGGAAAGAAAAAAAATCACAAGAAGACAAATTTGAAGAACATGCAGGACGATTGAGTACACATACTTATTTTCGGAACACAAGCGGTTCTCCGACTGGTTATTGAATAATGAAAAGATGCATTGTCATGCAATACAAAACATTTGGAATACGTTTTCTGACTGAAAACGTAAGATTAAAAGTCATCTGCTTAATTCACAGCCATTTACAAGTCAACTACTCGGGCAATTGCAGAATCGTTTTGATCCTGAGCTTGTAAGACAAACCTAATATCACTGGATTTAAACACTTCTTTAATCTTCCGAGAACGTTCCTTCTTTAGCTCATATTCCAAGAATATTAAGTGAATACAATTATTGCAAAAGAAATTGAATATTCATTTGCACTACGGCTTGGTAGTTTACTAACGAGTTAACAAAACTTAAATTCTGCTTTTTGTGTCTAAGAATACAACAATATTTTAAATATTTACAAATAAAATATTAAATTGGAGATTTAATTGGAGCCTCACCAGTTGCCTAGCATTTGAAGATTGTTAAATACTAATTGTTTGTTGCGAAGTCTAACCCAGGCTGCATGGTTGGTTTTCGTAGTTTTCTAGGTTCTCTTTACAAAGGTTCTCTATGAAAGCATCTTAATCAAATAGCTCCCATGTTCTTTCTATGTTCAAATAACCAACTAACCTAGTTTAAGCGCGATTTCCAAGTGAAGTTACTAGCAAAACCCGAATACTCATTAAAAATCATGTAGCTTGCCAATCGGGAGTAACATGAAAGATACGGCGCCAATAATTGAATTGCTGTTACGGTACGCTGTTTCTAAACTTAGATGGTCATTCCTTAATTAAATAGCCCACCAGCGGCCGAGCGGTAAAGACGCTGAACACTGGTAGTTCGGTCCGAGGTTCGAATCCCGCGAACGGGCTGGCTGGCTGCATGGGCGTTTTCGTGGTTTTCCCCATGTGTAACGTGTATACGAGCCAGTTTCCCTTAGAAAGTCCTCCACGAAGGCATCCCTCCCTTTAGGCAGATAGCCCTCGTGTGCTTTGCCATAATTAAATAATCCAATCCAATCCAATCCTTAATTAAATATAATTGATTTGTAACTTCTACTAGAGCTGACGGTTAAGAATTGAAGTGTAAATAAAATAAAAATATTGAAAGTTTTTTGAAATATTTGCAATTACTTTATAAGAAGGATTTATTAATAACCGTAATAATTACTTATTATATTACTGATGATTAGGATTCAGTTCTTGACAATTACATTCTAAATTAGAATTTTAAGGATATAATGAAAATACGCTACGCACAAAAATACATTTTAGGATAAAAAAATGAGTTGATTTTTTATGTTTTAAAACTTCTTAAATTCATTTAATAAACATCGTATCCTCGTTGTTAATTGAATCCAGAATGTTGGGTGTCGTTTATATAATTATTCTTACTTGTCCACAGAATCTGCTGACTTATCCAGCCATTAAGTAGCTGCAGATCATTTCTACATAACCATTGAACTTCCATTAATTCAGTCTCTAGAGGGTTGTATGTTTATATCATAATTTTGACTTTTATAAAAATGATTATTCTAAATCTTATGTTTTCTATAAAAATATACTGTGCTTTAAAAATATGGATGATCAGTATCAGCCGCTCTTTCAGCCACTTCAAAAGCAACAGTTTGTTTAGAAATAAATTATGCAGTAATGTCATAAAATTCAAATAAACATCAAACAAAAATTCTCAGTTTTAGACAATTCGATTTAAACGAAGTAAAGTAGCAGACGATAAAACGCCGAAGGTAAAAATTTACTCTTACAAAAATTTACTCTTATTTTTTTTTAAAAGAAGAGAAATTAAAAAAAAATAGTTAAAAATTTGAATAATATCATCTATAATTTAAAAAAATAGCTTTTCATATAGTATTAATAAATATTTATTACGCATCATTGAGGGAAAAAATGTCATATAATTAATTCTCCGTAAAATTTTACTTGAAATTTAAGGTTAAAAATAGCTGTGGCAATTCACTGTAACAAAAATCCATAGACCACATTTGGCATTATTATCGCTCAAAAAAAAGATGCCAAATTTCAAAACGCGAAAATATGTAAATTCGTGTATATCTTAGAAAATTTTGAATAAAAAAGTCTAATTTTTTGCAGATATGCTTAAAAATACACCTACTTTAAGATGATGGTAAAAATTTTATAGGTTATAATTCAAAATTTTTTTTCGAAAAATTTATAAAAATTATTTTTAAAATAGAAATTTAAAAAATAAAACACAAAAAAAAAATGGGTAAATTTTATTTGGAATGAACCTATAAATTTCGAAATGTGAGAGAAAAAATCAAAAAAGTTTAATAAAAAAAGAGATATTAATAAATATTTGCCAAATTCAATTAACATTGAGAAGCTAAAATTTTGAGAGCTAATATTTTAAAAACTACTCGTACGATTTTTACAAAACTTGGTATTCTGGCATAATTTGAGTCGTAGAATCGAAATATGGAAAAAAATTGATGTTTTATTTCAGAAAAAGTCCAATTTTGTGTCAAAATACCTATGTTAGAATAGTGCTATATATAAATCTAATATATATCCTAAGTCGCGCTTTCGAGACATGAAAAACGCAGGTTGAATTTTGTCAATCGGCGCAGTAGAACAGGAGATATAGCACTGTCCCATTTTTTTTTTTTGAGCAGTGTACATGCATGTAGTTTCATCTCTGGTTTCTGTGCATAAATAGGCTTTTGTGATGAATAAATATTTTAGTTATATACATTACTGAGACAAGAATCCAGATTTCATTTAGCTTCTGTAAAAGCTTTAGTCTTTATGACTGTCATATTAAGTTTTGTGTTGTCTTTAGGATGTGGAAGAGGCTGAAGCTGCTAAATTCTCTTCAAGCTTTGTCTTTGATGATAACGATTCAACTCAAAATTCTGCTTGGAATGATATCAAGAAGTATGTTAGAGGAAAACCAAATACTCTAGAAGAAAAAATTGCCCAGATAAGGGAAGAGAGGCGACAGAAATGTGTAATTAATTTTATTTTCTGTAAATATATGCTATTGATTGTATTGAATTTATTCTGTTCATTGTTGTTTATATATGTTTCTAAGCATTAATTATTGATTCTTTTTATTATTCTCTAAAAGTATTTGTAAGCAGTTTTATGTGTATAAAAAACTCATCATTGTATAATGTAATTTAAATAATTTTCATTTTTTTCCCACCCAGAATAGATTTTAGAACACCTTATCTGAAATTTATTATTTTGTTGTTATATTATTGCAGTCAAACCTCATTTAATGAGCACCTTCCATAATGAGTGATTTGCATAATGATCAAAACAAAATGTAAAAATATGCTTCCCTTAATAAGCAATGTTTTGCAGAATGAGTGATATAGTGTCATATGCAGTACTTCTGCCTGCATCTTGGCTATCCACCATGTGTTTTGTGCTCTTTCAGCTAGTGCATTTCTATAGTTCAAAGTTGTATTCAGACACATTATGGTGTATCTTTTTTTTTTCAGTACAAATTTTAAGCATGCTTATACCTTTGTCGCCAAAGAAAATGTTGCAAGAAGCCTAGGGTAAGAGAAGAAAAGTCATCATAGAAATGAAATGCCAAATCATTGAGAAGCAAGAATAAGGTGGGAGCATGCCTGACCTAGCATGCACATATAATCAATTGCATCAATGTTTTGCACTTCTGTAACAAGGGTAAGAGTAACAAGATTGATGCTTCAAAGGGTATCACAAGAATTTCTGTGTAATGGCCGTATATTTTCGACAGCACTGGAAAATTGCTTCTTGTATTGATCAACAAAAATCAAATGCAAGGCTACACTTTAAACAAAAACATAATTTGTGGGAAGGCAAAACTAATTTTTTCCAACCTCATTAAAAGGATGCCAGGATCATCAATGGGGAAAGAAGAAGCATTTTAGGGAAGCCATAGGTGGTTCGAAAAGTTTAAGAGAATTCCATAGACTATGAGGCATTCATCCACTATGAGGCATTTAGAAGCACCAAGCTCAAACATAAAGGTAGCCGAGATTTTCATGGCATATTCAAGAACGTTTGGAATTCTAAGGTTTTTAATTGTGATGAGACAAGTTTGCTCTGCATGTGCAGGAAAGATGCTGAAGCTAACTTATATTGCAGTAGAGAAAAATGCATTATGTGGAGGAAAGATGCTGAAGCAAACTTATATTGCAGTAGAGAAAAATGCATTATGTGGAAACAAGCTAATGAAAGACCATCTGATGCTGTTGCCTTGTGAAAATGCAAGTGACAATTTGAAAATCAAACTGCTGCTCATTTACCACTTAAACAATCCATAAGCTTCAAGAAGTATTAAGTCCAAAAGAGCAGGCTAAATGTCATATAGAGGTCTAACAACAAGACTTGGGCAACACGTTACCTATGGATCAATGAAATATTAGATCTGTCTGGCAAAAAAAATATCTGCTTGAAATGGATTTGCCACTGTTTACGACTAGAACTGAAAACAATAATAATAATAACTAAAATAAGAATAAAATTGTTTTTGATTAAATATAATAAACGTTTAAAAAATGAAAATCCAAAATTATAAACCGAATTAATTAGTGATAAACCGAAATTTGCAGAGTTATGAAAAAGATTTGAATTACAGTGGTTATGAGTGAGGTCTGAACTCACAACCTTTTCCTTTGCAGTCCAGCCCTCTGACCACTCAGCTAGCTGTGACAATTCTGACAAAAGAGTAATACATAAGCCACTGCAGTTGTAATTTAATTAATATTCAATAAATAAGTATCGCATGGCCCAATTGTAATTGTAATTGAAAATTTTGTTGCTGTATTTTATTGAATAGTCAAAAGTCGTTAATTCGTACCTCAAAACTACAAATTTTCTGCGCATGCATCACGTTGACACATGCGCATAGGCATTACGCGTGCATTTACGCATTGTAATTTACTTTTATAAAAGTAAACTTGAACTTTCGATTATGTCAAATAGAATTTCTGATGCTGGTGCTCCCAAAGGACAAACGAAACAAAAGTATGTATCTACAAAACGAAAGTATGTTTCGATGTCCATCAAACAAAAAGTGGAATTGCTGCAAAAAATGGATAAAGACATGAAGAAGGTGACAGAGAGGTTAGTGAAAACGAAAAAATTTCGATTGACAAGTTAGTCGATATTCTCGGCACAGCAATTACGGGACTTGAACAGCGGAACTTTGTAACTGAACAAGAAATTACGGCTGCGAATATGTGTGTGCGCGTGCGCAAAATACGTTTACGAATGCGTGTTTAATGTATAACGGACGGTATAAGTTAAGCTAAAATTATCTAATTCAGTTAATGTTACAGATTGCGTTGTTCCTTAATCTTCGAATTGGATTCGGCTTATTATTTTTTGCAGACTGTTAGAGCAATTTTATAAAAATAAGCTTAAACTTTCGATTATGTCAAATAGAATTTCTGATGCTGGTGCTCCCAAGGGACAAACGAAACAAAAGTATGTATCTACAAAGCAAAACTATGTTTCAAAGTCCATTAAACAAAAAGTGGAATTGCTGCAAAAAATGGATAAAGGCATATCCTTTGTTTATCTAAACTTTAATGTTTGTTTATCTTTATCGCCACGGCGTGCAATAAATTGGAAGTTGATCTGTCGGCACTATCCTTATCTTCAGGGCAGATGTTTTTATTTTATTTGGCTTATAATTCCTTACTAAATGTAGTATTTCATCTCGATGTACTCCGTCTTTGATATGATTTAAATCCTCGTCATTATAATTCGCTTCCGATAGCGAAGAAATTCCTCATCATTATAATTCGCTTCCGATAGCGAAGAAAGTGACAGAGGTTATTGAAAACGAAAAAATTTCGATTGACAAATTAGTCGGTATTCTTGACACAGCAATTATAGGACTTGAACAGCGGAACTTTGTAAATGAACAAGAAATTATGTTTGTTTATAGAATTAAAGAGAATGTATTATCACATAAAAAACGAAGCAACTTAAATAACTTACATTGAAAGAAATGTTTAATAAAGTAAACAAATATTAAGCTTTTTTTTTTTTTTGTAAAATTTGATACCCTTTAGATCATGATTGTTCTTTATTTCATAAATTACGGTTTCATATTTTTAATTTTATAATTTCTACATGCCATCTTACCAGATTTAAACTGATGATCGATAGTCCGGAATCGCTGAAGTCCCGAGGAGTCCGGATTAACGACTTTTGACTGTTTTCTTTAACAGTCAATTGCTTTGTTTTAGAAGTTGTTATTTTGATGTATTTGATATTGAGATAATTATAGAGCATCTTGTTATGCATGAAATAACAAACATTTTTAGTAATTAAAGAGAATTTTGTAAGGCAGAGAATTTGATTTCATAGAAAATGTAATTTATTTATTTTTTTATTGCTTACACTATTCTATACATATGGATATATTGGTCGGATCAGTACTTTATTAACCCTCTTAGTGGCCCGGGTTTTTGGATCTGTCATGAAGACCTGTATTTAAAGAGCCTTTGTTATGTGATATGTACATTTACCTATTTTAGTCTCTATTTTCATAAGCTTACATTCATCAAGATGACATTTATATTATTATTGAAAGTAAGAAAGCAAAATATCTTACATTATAACCTAATATATAAGAAGTGACAAAAAAATCCAGACTGGATAAAGCAGGTCTTGGCACTCAGAAGGTTAACATGCACTTTTTCCCTTTAATGAAAATTTGAAATTTCTACCAGTATATAGTTTGAGAGAACTGAGGATGCTATAAGCAGTGTTGTTGATTTTATATTGATATAGGCAATTGCGATCTGCTTAAATAAAAACTCACTGCTATGTGGTTCTAATGCCATATGGAAAAGTGAAAATAGTTTTTTTCATATTATGACACATGATAAGAACTCATTCGTCTATTGACTGCTAGTTCACATCGGGGACGAAAAAGCTGAACACGAGCCAATTCAGATTTATATTCTCTGTGTAATATGGATATGTGCCGGTGAAAAAGTAATGGCAACTACATTTCGAGTATATTTCCAAGGACGGGCCCTAACATCACTCCTTTATTATAACTTCACCAGCAGGTCATTTCAAATTTTAAAAAGCACTCTTTGAGCATTGTTTTGAGGTAAACTGAAGGAACCAATCTCTGTCTCAGACATTTGGAAAGACCACTCTCACATTGTTGCTTGCCCCAAGATAATCTATAAGGAGGATGTAGGAAAGGCAGTCTTCAAAAGAACCATTTTTTCTGCATGAAGGAAATTTTGGTCAGACAATGTTGTCCAGTATGATTCTGAAGGGTTTTATCAAGTTTGTGGAGTCTGTAATCAATGAGAATGTGTTTCTAGATAAGATTGTAATGCTGCAATGATATTGATAAACTAGTGGAAGAGTATAGCCAGTAGCTGATCACCAGTGAGCAGCTTATGGAGCTGCATTCTGTATCGCAATGAGATGTGGAAGAGATTTTTCCAGGAAAGGAGGAGATCATAGCCTCAGCACGCTGAAAGCACAGAAAATTATTGCATTGTGTGTTGAGAAGGTCATTGTATTATTATTTGTTTACTTAAGAAATGCAATATTGGGAGCTAAAATGTGAGGCAATGTCCTTTTGAGCTTTGCTACAAAGTAAAGTTTAAATGCACTGTTAAATATATTTTATTTTTGATTTTTGTTGATTTTTTGCTTAATTGTTTGGTGAATCTTCGGATTATGGTAACATGCCGATTTTTTGACGAAAATTTGGTGACCAGCCCTGCTACATCAACCTGCGAGTTTTTTTTTTTGACGCTATTTTGTTTTCACGAAGTAAAGGTTTTTTTTTTTTTTTTTTTTTTTTACTCAACATTTTTTTCCAACTATCTGCTAGCCAAATTACGCTTATGATAGAACTTTTATGGAACAAAAGTGATTAATCATGAGAAAGATTAGGTGCGAATTCTTTCTAAGTAGTTACTAGCTAAAATCACAATCGAAATTTTCCGGAAAGTCCATTTTCTCCAGATTTCTTGCACCGCCATTCAAACTTATCTGTAATATCCTTCCTTACACACAGTCTCATTTCATTTCCCACATGTTGGACATCATACTTATCTGAAGTTAATCCTACACTCATACACCATTCAAGCAACTCCTTTGGATGATCACATAAATAAAAATTCGGAATTTACTTTAGAGAGAGCCATGAGATCCAAATATTAAGCAACACTGTTTCACACAAGATGGAATGTACTTCTGTAAAGTCCTAGCTAGTAACCTTTATCGCCTTACCAAAATGTCGCCAAACTACCTGTTACCATATTCTAAATATTAGCCAAATTCTCTTTATCACAATGCCTAAATACGCATTTCGAATTCACTTTAGTTACGGCCATGGGATCTAAAAAATTAACCAACATTGTTTCACACAAAACAGAAGAAAGCTAAATACAAAATTTACAGATTTTTTTCCAGATTCCCCCCCTTTTCCGATTAAAGAACTGTAATTCGTCCATTAATGTCACATGACATATCTCCTGATCTCTCATTTCCCTCACACAAAATAATGCATAATCGGAACTGAGTACTTCTCACATTATTACCAAAGTTCTAGGTAGTAACCTGTATCGCCTCCAAAATGTCGCCAAACTACCAGTTACCATATTCCAAAGATCAGCCGAGAATTTTGCTTTTTATTTATCGGAGGAAGTATGGAGGAAAAATTAGATTAGGATTGTAAGCTAATTTTTATTAATTTAATGTATGTGCTTATTTATACTTTAAGTAGTGTTTTTGAATTTAATTATATTTTATTAAATGATAGTTATTTTGTGAATTATACGTTTGTAGGAATTTGGTATACGTTGCAGTGGAAGTAAACGTGCATGGAAATAATTTAAATATTTGACACTAAGTATTTGTAACCATTTGTAATGTTTGCGGTATGAATTTGTTGGTGACGTTTATAATATAATAGATAATTTAGAGTAAAAGTTTTTGGATATTTTATTTTTTACACGTGGAAATGTATATTTGGAAAGGGTATATACTTTTTCGCGATCAGGTAATTTCATATATGTTCTTTTTACCGGATTTAAAGATTCACAAAATTTTCATGCATTTTCGTGAACTTTTTCTAATTTACGAGAAAAAAGCAGTGTACATGGATATAGTGAAGAGTGTGCGCAGTGCCATTTTTGTGCAATTCTGGGATGTTTTTTTAAGTAAAAATAAGTCGACGTGTACATGGTTTAGTGATATTTTAATTAAATGATAGTTATTTTGTGAATTTTATGTTTTTAGGAATTTGGTATGCGTTTCAGTTGAAGTAAACGTGCATGGAAATAATTTAAATATTTGACACTAAGTATTTGTAACCATTTGTAATGTTTGCGATATGAATTCGTTGGTGACTTTTATAATATAATAGATAATTTAGAGGTAAAAGTTTTTGGATATTTTATTTATTTTATACATGGAAATGTACATGCTTGGAAAGGGTATATACTTTTTCGCGATCAGGTAATTTCATATATGTGCTTTTTACCGATTTTAAAGATTCACAGAATTTTTTTGAATTTTCGTGCAAATTTTTGTAATTTATGAGAAAATAGCAGTGTAGATGGATAAAGTTAAGAGTGTGTGCAATGCCATTTTTTTGCAATTCTGGGATTTTTTTTAAGTAAAAATAAGTTGATGTGTAAATCGTTTATGTGTATGTGCTATTCTGAAAAACGTGCAAGGAGTTTGCGATTGTGCACTTTTTCCCAATTTTGCAGTTAATATTTTTCATGATTAAGCAGCTTTGTTACATAAAATTTCTAGCATAAGTGTAATTCGGCTAGTAGATTGTTGGAAAAAGTGTTCAGGAAATAAAAAGAAAAGAAACGTCTTTACTTCGTGAAGACAAAATGGCGGCGAAAAAAAAAATAGAGTGTTGCTGTAGCAGAGTTGGTCGCCAGATTTTCGCCAAAAAAATCGCCAAGTTACCATAATCCAAAGATCAACCATTTTTTTTTTAATGTTCTTAACATAACAAATATTTTTTGGTAGAAATTAATTAAAAACAACAACAACATTGTTATTCTTGAATTGAAGACATGGTGCACTTTTTGCAAAGTTACTCAAACTTACAAAAGTGGTGTTTGAATGCATTTTATCGTATTAGAATATTTTTTCTTGTAATTTTTCTACTTAATGTATTTGCATCATAATTCTGTTCTATTAAGTTATGTCTACCAAGTTTACATACATTTCTTTTCCATTTAAGAAGAATTTCAGTGCTATTATTTTATTTTAATTAATGCTAATGAGCAATGAAGTGATCAGTAAACATTTCTGTTGCAGCTGAAAAAACAATCAGTTGCATGTGATGCAACAAGAAAATATGGATGTGACAAACAAGAAAATATGGATGCTGACAGTGGCAATAATGATGATGTTCAAAACAATGAACAGGAAGAACACGACAATGATAAAATGTTGGATGAAGAAACGGAAGACATTGCTATATCTTCTTCAGATAATGAAAATATAACTGGTAATATAAATTTTTCACAGAATTAAAAAAAAATTAAAAATTAATAAAAAAATTTCAATAAAATTCACTCTGAAATATTAAAATACTGAATGAGTATAAATTTTTGCAATTTTCATTGAAAAAAAGATTCCATTATATTGCACACATTTATTGGGTCTTGGTCTGTATATTTTAAATATTTATAATCTGCTGCTATATATTGGAAAACTTTTTCATCTACCTTATGTAGAATTTCTTTCTTCTGGTGTTAAAGTTTTATAATCCATTGAGAATGTTGTTATATTCCTTTATGTTGTTATATTCTTGTCACTGAAGAAAGTTTTACAGAGTAATGTAATGTAATATACGAGTGTGCTGCAACCCTCCTGGCCAATAATAATAAGCCTCATTGTTAATGCAGCATTCTCAACAAAGTTTTATAGGGTATAGGAAACAGTATCTGTTGGAGAATTACCTGATAAAATTCCATCACCTGTAATATGGTACAGTAAGATTCATATTCCTTGATATGAAACTTAAAGATTTTTTTAGTTTGGTCGATATATCTCAAACCACACTACACAATATGCTAAAAATTCCTTAAGAATTAAAGTCAGAAATGGAATCATTAAGAATTGAACCATGGATTTTGTTGATATGTGAGAAAATGACTTGAATATTGAACTTTTGGTGAATCCATGTAATTTTAGAACTGACAGAAAGATGAAATGGAAGCATGACAAGGCTATTATAATCAACACTTAGTTCTTCTTTACTCATTCTCAATCACACATGATTTTATTGCACCCCACAATTTATTATATTTTGATATCTTGAAACATTGGACAAAGCAGAGCAAGAACTATGTGTTGCCAGCAGCAAGCAAAGTGGCTATGTGTTAGTAGCAGTGATATTTATTGACTTGATTTGTTTAAATTATGGATCTGCAATTGGATACGAGATGTCACAATGCAGGAGGATTACACAAGCATGCATGAAACAGAAAAACACAGTCCAAAAATTTATTAAAGCGATTGCTGTTTTTAGAACAGAAAGAGAATTAGCCAAATTAAAATGGGAATAAAAAGGACTATAATGGCAAATTAAATTTAATAATTCTGAGTTACGTATTTTATATTTTACACACACATATATATATGTGTGATATTTAGATGCATAGTCGTGATGGCAGAGTGGCAAGACGGAAAAAAGATGTTGATACCAAACCAAGTTCATCTAATTATTTTTTTTATTTCTAGGCACATTAGAACAATTCTTCATACATAATATACTTGTAGATTATAAGCAATTGCAATATTTTCTCATATACGCAGGTTAACGGGGGTGACATCATTTTAGACGGATAAGCTGAGTAGCGAGAATATGTTACCAGTGGGGAAGTTAGGGAAAAAATGATGTAATCAACTTGCGGGCAGTATTTATACTGAAGTAGATGCAGTTGTAGAGACAAGCTATGATTGGTTAACTTTAGTTTTAGTTACCTTTTTCAAAGAATGTTATATGACATGGAAAGATCTTGAATTTGGGAGAACAGATGAATTTAGGGGGAGAGCACCAAATCTAGAATAGTTAATTTTGAGGTCACCAGTTATTTTTAAAGCAGCCATCGTATTTTGTTTTATATATATGTGTGTGTGTTTATCGTATCTCAGTGCTATCATCTGTAATGAAAATAATATTAACTTGAAATTTAATATAGATTATTTAGAGCTAATAGATCTTATCATAGTTTAAAGAATTTTTTAGCATCTAAATTGTTAAACTTAAATACAAAAATATATCTTTATTAAAATTTAGTTAGATATATAGGGGTTGGACAAAAATATGGAAACACCTTTAAAAAAACATGTTTCTTTGCTTAATATAGTGTAGGAAACCCGTTGGCATCCAAAACAGCTTGCAGTCTTCTCGGAATGGATAAATACAGTTCCTGTATGTTTGCCAAGGGAATATTATACCATCCTTCCTTGCAAAACGGTGGCAAGTTCAGATAACGATGTTGGCGGTGGATAACGAGAACGCACTTTCCGTTCCAATGTAGACCACAAAGGTTCGATAATATTCAGGTCTGGTGACTGTGGTGGCCAGGGGAGATGGGACAACTCATCCTCGTGCTCAGAAAATCAGTCCTGGACAATGTGAGCTGTGTGAACAGGAGCTTTGTCGTCTTGGAAGACACCATCACCATCGGGGAACAAAGTTTGTACCATGGGATGAACTTGATCGGCCAAAATGTTCACATAAGTCTTGGCAGTCATGGCCCTGACGCAGTTATCATGGGGCTAGCAGAGAACCACGATATGGCTGCCCAAACCATAACAGAACCCCCATCATGTTTCACTCTTGGCAACAAGCACTCTGTATTATAGGCTTCAGATGGCGTTCTTCAGATGTAAACTCGGCCAGAAGTGGGAAACAATGTGAAAGAAGACTCGTCAGACCATATTACTCGCTTCCACTGCTCTATAGTCCAGGCTTTATGACTTAAACACCTTTTCCTGTTACGGGCATTAGCATCACTGATGAGTGGCTTCTCAATTGCAGCACGGCCAGCAATTCCCTGTTTATGAAGCTCCCTTCTAATTGTTTTGGTACTCACCGGGTTCGGTAACACAACATTAATTTCAGCAGTAACTTTTGCAGCTGTGGTCTTCTTATTTTTCGTCACAATTGCCCTTAATGATCGTCTGTCATGATCACTCAGGACACACTTTTGTCCGCGCTGTGATTTAGCAGATGATGTTTTTTCGCTTTTCAAATATGCAGAATAAATCTTCGATACAGTACCTCTTGAAACACTAAACACCTCGGCTACCTTGCTTACGGAAGCACCTACCATACGTGCTCCAACAATTTGCCCACGTTCGAAGTCTGTTAACTCTGACATAATGCAATGACAACCTCACACAATAGTACTCCGACAACAACTGAACTGTTTAGCACATTTACGAAGTTGTATAGGTGGCGTCAGTAGTCAAAAACGCCAGTGCCACCTACATATTTCATTAAAATCAATCTTTCTTTTCAGACATGCATTTCACAAGGTGTTTCCATATTTTTGTCCATCCACTGTATCATATTGTATGTTAGTGAATAATGTTGGCCATTAACAAAACAGATGAAGAAAGACTTCTAATCTTTGAAAGAAAAATACTGCGAAAAATGTATGGCCCAAATGGAGAAAATAATAGATAGAGAATTTTCTGTTTCACTGGCGCAAATTTTGCCAAGCAGACTTTATTGGCGAAAACACACAGCATACACATAAAAAATGTTGACAAATGTTAGTTCTAAGAATTTTTTATTTTAAAAGTATAAGCATTTAAATGTCGTTTAAAATTTTGTAAAAAAGCCAATAAATAAAGACAAAGCATTTGTAAAAAGACATTAATTTAAGAATTTATTGTGCTTTCATGGTACAACATCCTGATTCGCCGGTTCATATCATGTGACCCCCAAGTGATTTCGTCTCACGTAAACTACGCTACAAAAATCTTATTCTTTCAGTAACTATCTACATTAATTTCAAGTTTAATTTCGAATAAAAGTTTAAATGCAAGAATTATTTCAATTGGTATGAATACCTTACTCAGAAATTATGTATAACGTCAATGCTTTACTTTCCTAGTGCATTCTCAGTAGAATTGATGAATTTAACCCTTGACTTTGTCTTTTCTATATTTTCGCCATTGGGTGAGCGGTGTGATTGCATCCTAATTGACTTCATTACCGCCTGCAAATGGCCTTAGGGCATAAAATTGAACTTTCTGGTAAAAATTCTATGTAATTGCATGCCAGTATTGAAAGAAACAGATCTGATAAAAATCTGATATCTGGATCAATCTGATAAAAAATGCCTGCGACTTGTTTTGAAAATGAGAAGTAAAAGGTTACCAGCAAGGATATTCCGTTTGGCATTACCTGCACTGGCAAAATGGAAAAGTACCAAACAACCTAATATTGTCCGATTCATCAAATCTTACCCTTTCAGATGAGTTGGACATATTCTTAGATGTGACAGCTTGAATTCTGTTAGTCTGTCTATTGAAGTTCTTTTAACTTTTCTGTGGATTTCAATATTGAAATACTTATTCTTTCTTACCCTTAAAGGATACGATCCAAGATAGACAGGCTGTAGTGAAGAATTATTAATGTTGTTGTATAGGAGTAGGTGAGAACAGTTGGAAAGATGTTTAGAAACAAAGTCTGTTCTATTTCCATGGGTGGGGGTAGGACTTGGCTTCATATCTCTTATTATTTTCTGAAGTGTTTGAGAAAATCCAGACAGTTTCATATGAGGTATTGTTGAAAAGAATTCTCTGGGTAATGCTAAAGCGGTTCCGTATGCAAGTTCTGTGGATGAGCAACCTAAGTTTTCCTTGACGGCAGATCTTATGCCTGGAAGAATGAAAGGCAATGCTTCCAGCCATGATTTTGATTCGAGTAGATGACATTTGAGGCTTGCTTTTAAAGTTCGGTGTTGTCTTTCGATCAGTCCATTTGCCTGTGGATGGTACGCAGTTGTGTTTGTATGAAAACCAAGATATTTTCCTAAAGCTTGAAAGAGTTGGCTATCAAATTGCTGACCTTGGTCAGATGTTATGCAATTCGGAATTTCAAAGTGTGTAAACCAAGTATATATGAAAGCTTTAGCAATAGATTCTGCTGATTGATCTTCTAATGGTGCCGCTTCGATCCATCGTGCATAACAATCGATGATGGTTAGAAGCTATTTGAATCCTTTACAAGGAGGTAGCGGGCCAACCAGATCTGTGCTTAGATGCTGGAATCTGTGTGGAGGTACTTTGAATTCTCCCAAAGATGACTGTGTATGTCTGTGGACTTTAGATCTTTGACAAGATAAACATGCTCTAGTCCATAGTTGGCAGTCTTTATTCATATTGGGCCATATAAAACATCGTGTTATCAATTTTATCGTGGATCTTATTCCAGGATGAGATAAATTATGGACTGACGAAAATATTTTCTACCGAAACTTT